CTTTTAATGCCAATTTAATGTTTTTTAATGCCAATTTTATGTTCTTTAATGCCAATTTAATGCTTTTAATGCCAATTTAATGTTTTTTAATGCCAATTTTATGTTCTTTAATGCCAATTTAATGCTTTTAATGCCAATTTAATGTTTTTTAATGCCAATTTTATGTTCTTTAATGCCAATTTAATGCTTTTAATGCCAATTTAATGTTTTTTAATGCCAATTTTATGTTCTTTAATGCCAATTTAATGCTTTTAATGCCAATTTAATGTTTTTTAATGCCAATTTTATGTTTTTTAATGCCAATTTAATGCTTTTAATGCCAATTTAATGTTTTTTAATGCCAATTTTATGTTCTTTAATGCCAATTTAATGCTTTTAATGCCAATTTAATGTTTTTTAATGCCAATTTTATGTTCTTTAATGCCAATTTAATGCTTTTAATGCCAATTTAATGCCTTCAACAGTAAATGCATAAGCCTCACAGGTATAAATGCCATTTTAATGCATTTTTGATACCATTAACAATAAAGGCAAAAAGTATTACAAAACTTTTTATTTTGTTTTACAGGAGATTAAGCCATGTGCCTTTGTTATGGACTAATTATCTATCTGTGTTATTTACGACCATACACGCAGACTTTTCTGGCATTATTCCAACGTGTTTCTGCTTTTTGCGACGACATCTTTAAACCATCTCACACTAAGGTTTTAGACAAGTTATGTCAATTATATGAAAATAAGTTAAGGCTAAATAATTCACATAGGTTTTATTTTTTATTTAATCGTTAGTATTACAGTAYTTACACATCTAAAAAGGATTACTGTTGATTTATTTTATTGCAGCTTCATGTGCACATAGTAAGTTGAAATAAATAATCTAAAACRTTCCTCTTTTGTAAGCTAATCCTAAGGTTTCCAAAATGGCTCATCTAATTTTTCCTTGAAGACAAATGAAAAATATTTAAATATACAAGTCAATTTAATCCATTTACTGCTTTTAATGCCAATGTAATGCTATTTAATGCCCCGCAGCCTCCAATCCAGTTTGACTTCTTCAAATAAACCCAAACCTGATGCAAAGAAAGTTGCTAAATTCCAGAAATGAAAAGCAAATGACATGTACACGATCGCCTGTAAAGCAGATGAAACTCTCACCAAGTGGCTGTGGTCAGCCATGATGTGATATTTCATCCCTGTGGAGGACTTCAGCTGTTTCCCACAGTGCTGACAGGTGAAGGGTTGCTGCAGAGTCAGAGGATGTTTAAAACACAGAACCGTCAGTTTGTGAGCGTTAGTATTGAAGAAATTTATAGTTTTTACAGATTAGTACTGATGTTAAAAACACAACACTATATTTTTAGGTTTTCCTTTTTATAATGGTGAATCTATAATGTGTTGATTGAAATAGATTAGTTACATGTCCGAAATATCTATAACAACACATTTTTATCCGTTATGGAAACATCAGGGAAGAATTGTGTATGAATGCCTGTGATTCAGCCGTAGGTCAGTAGGGGGCGAACACRGGCATCGAAGACTCTGTATAAATGGATCGATTTCCAGGTTGACCGGCAGTGTGTGGTTTCCTGTCAGATCCGAATGGCATTAAATCYTYWCTCCCAGAATTCTGGTTTTGTTTGGTTTTATCTCATCCATCATATTATTTAACATTGGTGGTTTTCTACTGACTTCAGTCTTTGAACACGAATATTCTTACAGTTAATGGTGACCCCGACGTGATAATATTGCCTGGCGACCATTTTACGACTAATAATTATAAAAGCATAATAGGTAAGTGTAATAAATCAATGAACTTTAATTTTTTTAAAATGTTAAACAAAGTGGACTCAGTGTCTAATAAAAAACGCACTTGAGTAACAATGAAAAACAACGAACAACAAAATGTAAATTACACAGTTGCTTCATGAATTACAAGCAGACGCTGTGATCTGAGCGCTCACCAGTCGGCAGTTCTCCATGTGTTTCTTCAGCCCCTCCACGGTCTTCCTGCTCACGCTTTTACATTTCGGACAGGTCACCCTCCCTTTGGCCACAATCTGAAGCTGCCAGCACTCCTCTGGACTTCCTGGGTGGTTAAGAAAATAACATTTCAATCTGGAATCATCCGGACAAACAGAATCGATTCTTTCAGGAGCCTGGGGATGCTGCTCAGCTGATCAACAGATACCTATAAAGGTATCTGTTAACGCTGCCGTTCGTACCTGCAGGGTAGGCAGGAGTTTCCTTCTTGATGGGGACAATGACAGGTTTCTGGTCTTCACCTAACGGAGCCATGGAGGCCTCACAGAGCCTGGTTTCATCTGAACCTGGGGGTTAAATCACATAATAAGCATGTTACACCGCATTAATCTAAATATACATAACATCTGATCTGTTAGACTAACTTACACTCTGAAACTCTGCCCTCTGCTGGCGGAGGAGGGAAGTTATTAACAACAGGGTTTTGATCCACTTCAGTTTTCTGAACTTTCTTCATGTTTAAATCTGTCAAATTAAACAAAAACATGATTTTCTTCAATTCATTTCACATTAAACAAAGTTTCTTAAACATAAAATTAAACATGTGTGCACATTATATATTCTGTATAATTGTGAAGTTTTGTTAAAGGGATCCCTG